ATTTTGGGAATGTTTTCAGTGTTGAAAGATTGGTCTGCCTTTACATGAAGCTGTGGCCGGATCTAGTGAGATCGGAGCTCTTGATTATTAACCATGCTAGTTTTAGGACTGACGGGAAAGCCAGGAGTAAAAGGTGTTTAACTGTACAGTCTCTGAGACAACTGATGAACAAAGGACAATAGAGCATTTCTGTCCTGACCCTATCCATCTCAAAGGACCCTTTTTTTGAAAAATAGGAGCTACTGGAAATGGAGAAAACCCATCAGGGTGGTTTAAGCTCATCCTCAGAGTAAAGAATCTGGTATCAGTTGCACTGAGGTGGTGGTCCTACAAATATCCTCAGGGTGCATTTTCTTGGTCACCACTCAGGATGTGGCCTCTCATGTGATGAGGGATAATCAAGTGCATCTCACTGGACAACAGATTCACCTTGCATTTTCTATGAATAGGTGACTAAACCCAGCACCCAGGTTTTCCCAACCAAGGGACTGAACCCCAAAGGTATTATTAGCAGGCTGGGCTTCCTTGCACACTAAGTCTAAGGCAAGGCCATTGCTTTGCTCCTTTTTACCTCTATGGCTTCTTCCCGTCAACCCACAGGTTCACAACTGCCAATATTCTCTAGCAAAAGAGCTGAGAAAGAAACAGAGGAAGCTACACTTGGAAAGAAGAATGTTTTGTACTTTATTTACAACAGGATGTAAGAAAAAGTAAGTTATTAACAATAATAAATAACTGCAAAAAGAACACAAAACAGCCATAAAGTGTCACAGAAGGATGGCAGGTGTGAAGATCAACTTTTGTTTGTTTTGCTTTGTAGTCTGTAACACTGTGCGATCCTAAACTTGGTCCTTCAGCAATGGCAGTGGTATATTGACTAATTTAACCAATCAAGATCCCAGCTTGAAACGTAAACACTCAAAAGGACACTCTAAGCTACATAAAAACTGGGATAGCTACAACACAAACTTAAAAGGACTCCTGCTCGGTGATAGATAAAAAATGGAGACTCGCGATCGGACAGATATGCTTTCAATTTAAAGCAAAAAGCATGAAGAGATTTATCCTAAAGCATTTGTTAACAAAATTACATTTACCAATGGCAGACGGAAAAGTTCTCAGCATGTTCACATTCTCTTATTGCACTAATTCCTAAAAAGCTTAAACACATATTTTAAATGCAAACAGGCTCTTTTGAAGGTAGAACACAGAAGAATCCGATATGCTTTGCTTCAGCATGCCAACACTGTGCTGTTTTGTGTTAACACTTCAGTGTGTCAGCAAGAATGAATAGCTCGAACTAGTTCATTTTATGATCCAACTGCAGTCACCGGGCAAATTTTTTTTTTGTTTAATTTCAAGAACTATGTCTCAAATGGTCATTTAGCCTACTGAGTTGGTTGACCAGAAAAAGAACCCAAACTATTTAGACAATTCCTTTCTAATAGATTATCTGATTATTCATTAAAGGCAGAGTAAATCATACTCTGACCCTTCTTCTAAAGCAAACTTCTTATTGACCTAAGCCAATCAGTGACCCATTATTACCTGTTGCCTCTGAGTCATGAGGAGATGCTAAGGAAAGTAGAATTTAAGTCTACACATAAACACATTAGTCCTAAACATTCAGAGAGAAATGATTTCTTGAGGGCGTCAGGATATAGTCTTAAGTCCTTGTTTATTACAGTGTCTTGAGAAACCCCACAAAATCATCCTCTTGAGGGGTGTTGTTTTGTTTAAGTGTCCACAACTGTGTTACTTCAAGATGTTCATGACCAAAACCATGGCTAATAAATACCTCCACATAAAACCAAAACCATTTCCTCCCTCCCCCACACACAGATGCCAAGCCGTTAACAGAAGAGTTCGTAAATTCGTTCGCCAATGAAACCACTATTGTTTCAGTTGTAACTGTGGCAACTGAAAAACGTCATAGTCTTCTCTGTTGTCATATTTCCTTGTCTTATTACAGCCCCAAAGAAGGAAATTGAAATCACCTTCAGTGCAGACTGTCAGCAAAGTTGAAGTAGTAGAGACAGCAAGTTCTTCCGGTCGAAGAAAACACAGCGAGAGCAACAATGTTTATACTTAAAGCCAACGGGGAGCACAGGGACAATTTATATTTGAAATCCACCCAAAGTGATGACATTTATGGTCATTTGATGGTCTCCACTAGCATCAGAGATAGAGATGTGATGTATCCATGTGTTAGTCTATAGATTATTGATTGTAATTTGGCCATCAGAGACTTAAAATTGATGGTGTCAGAATCACTATACTATATTTATATATATCTACAGGTATAATACAATTTTGGTGAACAAAGTTGAATGTTTCCACACAGCAGACATAGGCACTGAGTTAAGGATCTATTTCCCCCCAAACATGCTTAATGAATTCAAGTTTCTGCTTTTTTTTTTTTTCTTCTTCTTTTTCTTCTAAATTTCCATCATGCAGCCACTTAATTTCCATCCTTAGAAGAACTACTAATGTTCTATATACATGTTCATTGGAGGCTTGTATCCCACAGTAAGGAACTCATGTATGCAGAAGGTGAAGTGATCCTTGAAAACCAGGATATATATATAGAACATCGAAGGCATTTATACCTTGTAATGACTGGATTAAACATTCAAAGCAACTAAAGAAGTGCTTGCATCCCCTTCCCCTTTGGGATTATGTGCACGAACCACATGTAGACAGAAAAACTGACTGAACTTTTTAGAAGCATATACATTGGTTGGCAAAGAATCACACTATCATGGGTAGTTTTATGGTTGGTGTCTGTGGCATTATACTGGCTGTAAAAGAGATTAAACTTACAAAAAGAAAGCATAGATTCATTTTCAAAGCATACAGAATTATGGGACTCGAGAGCAGAAGCTATTTTACAAAAAAGGGAAAAATTGCAATGGAATTCATGGAAAAGCTAGGTGCCAGGTATGTTCACAAACTACACAAAATAAGTTTGTTCAGTGTGGAAATAATGATCCCACCCACATCAATTTCAACTTGCAAATGGTAAGCAAATACATATACTATCTAAGTGTCTTCCGAAAGTAGAATTTTGCCTTCTAAAACTATCCATCTAGACCAGCATTCCCATTTACTATGACTGTGTGGAGAGGGACCCAGTAAGTGCCAGAAGTTTGATGAAAGATTGTTTTCCCACAAGCAAAATCATGCTACCAGACCATGCAAAAAAAGGTGTCTTCCTAGGGTGTTAATCATTCTTAGGGAAGAGATGAACTGTTGAACTAAGCTACTTGCAACTGGTTAACTCTGGAGTCCTGGGTCTATTCATTTTTTTCCTCTCTCTTTTTAAAACGAAATATCAAGGTATAGACAAAGAGATGGTCAGACAGTCTGAACTATGACTTGGAACCCTTTGGTGCTGGGCTCGTGGGTCCAGCATCTTGCACCTTGCAGGAATGTAGCAACCTGAAAGATGTTACAGGTTGTAGTCTGGGCTCTGAGAGAAGCAGGCAGGGGCCACTGGCTGAGAGATTGGGAGAAAGAGGATCAAGCTCCTTGGCCTTTTTTGTTGTTGTTTCCTTTAGGATCTGTGTTTTGGGAAGGTCCCTTTCCTGAGGTCAGAGGTGGTGGTCAGGAAGGCTAGCTGGGGCCCAGGACTTGAGTTACCCAACAACTTTGTTCTTTTCCTCTCTTGGAGGAGACAAGAAAATGCTGTTTCTGCTTGCCCGTCCTTCTGCAGCTAAAGGCAGTGAGGTATGAAGGTAGCAGCTTTTTTTCTTTAGACTGAAGGAGAATTGTCTCTGCCACTTTGGTGAATGATCTTCCCTCCTGTTAACTTGACTCTAACTAATCCTGTATTTCCACTACTAGCCAAAAGAAACACACCAAAACCAAAACATAAAACGACACAAGAGTCATATCTGTTACCATACCTCCTAACTCTGCAAACTAGGCCTGCGAAACCATCCTTCTCGCTTCCTGTTTTGCTGCACTCCTATGACATTCCCAGTATTTGAATTTCAAGTAAAGAGAAAAAAAAAAAGACAGTCTTTTCTAGGGTCTGGGGATGGCCCATCCATTCCAGGGAAGTTTGGATATCACTAAGAGTAAAACAAGGAGGGTGCTTGGAGACAGTTCTCTGTTTTAGGGTACCCCCGCTAGAATTCCTGACATGTTCAAATCCAGTTAGCTTCCTCAATCCTTGTACTTCTTTGAATGGGCAAAGAGCCAATGAATCCTACTCAGTTAATTGCAAATCTGAGAATATTAATGGATGATAGAAATTGACAAATCAAGGTTGGCTGGTAGCTGCCGAGGGTGTGGAGATGTCGGTCTCACCCTGGCCTCTTAATTCCTACAGTAAACCACTCCAGAATCAGTTAGCTATGGTCACATTCTTCCAGGCAATTCTTAAAGGTTTCTGAGGCCGTGAGGGCACAGAAGGGAGAGTTATTAAAAGACAGAAACAAGTGGAATCTTTATCAAATTCTGTGAAAGGTATAAACCGGTTATCATTAATTGCACTTGGAGCCTCTATAGGTTGATAATTAAAATTTTCAAAAATTTAAAGAGTTGATTTGGCCCCAAATCCTGAGTCAGACTAACCAAAATAGGAATCTCAGTAATTATTGGTATTCAAGTATAGGCGGTCAGCAGTTCAAAATTGAATAATTAGGTATGCTATGCCTGAGAATATGCTTTGAAAATTTCAGGTTTGATAGAGGGAATTGGCTTCCATTCTTTTACTACACCTTTGTCACAAAGTGGTGCAAAGTGTTCCTTTGTTTATCCAATGGCAAGACTTCCTCCCTGGTGAACAGCTGTCTCTATGGAAGATTCCCCACTGTCCTTTGCAATTCTTAACCATTACTATGATGCAGTGTAGCTACTAAGGCATTCATATTATATGTTTAATTACTTAACCACATGCACACCTGGAGATCGAAGAAGATCGAAGGAACAGGTTTAAGTGACAAAGCAGTCATTCTCTCTATCAGGCGATTCTTAAACAAAACAACCCAAAATGAAAATATAAAACCCCATGAAATCTCCCCAGTACAGGTTACTCTGACTTGGGCCGACATGGCTTATCTGAAGAGTGCATGCCAGGTAAATTCAGGGTGGCTTTTTTCTCAGGGTCTGGAAGCGTGAGAGTTTCTGGGGCGGACTTTTTCCGGGGCCGATCTCTGGGGACTGAGAGGAATTCGGGTGGGTCTGTGGAGAGAGGTGTGGATGGAGCGCTAGAAGGAGCACTGCGGATGGAAGAAGGCAGCAGGGAGATGCTCGAGATAGAAATCGCAGGGGGGAAAACGCCAATTTTCTTGTTGGTAGCTTCCTGAGTGGCTCGTTCAAATTCTCGGACTTCATCCATTGTCATGTCTTCAAAGGAGAAAAGAAAGACAAAGAAAAATGAGAGTTATTTGCAAGAGATGGAAACAGACTCTTGGCAATGCCTTCAAAGAGCTCTACCTTAAAGGGGCTTCACGAGATTACGAACCCAAAGGACCATATAAATGCTCAAATAATTCTTTTGCTTTTTGAGGCAACCCACGCCCCCCTCAAAACAATATTCCTTTATGAATCTCTATCTTTTCAAAGTCCTTTTCAATGAGAATTTTAAGTATTTTGCACAAGAACTTAACAGGAGAGTACAGACCAGTCCAGGGGAGAGTGTGTGCACGTGTCTGTGTGTATGCTGGTGTTTTATTGTTATTGGTCCATGGACGTTAGATGCACGGCTGGTCATTTCTTCCATAAAGATAAGGTGATTGTTAAAGCAACCAGTTGTGCTGGAATGAGACATGTTACTATCGACCTTCCATCATCCAAGCACAAGAATACCTTTATAGGACAAACAGGTATCAGAATTCTCAGCAGGCTGCCTTCTTACTAAGTATACGCTTTACGTTTTGATGCCGTGGTTACTGGCTTCCTAATCGTGTACCCACCAAACACTGACATGCTTTGTTTTAATTGATTCAGTTTTAAGGAAAACAAATGAGAAGACAACAACAATGAATCCTGTTCATGATCGCAGAGCTAAGAAAAGAAAACCACTTCTTAAAGAAACCTAAAAGAAAAAGAATAGAGAATGAAAAGGGGGATAATTTCATGAGTGAAGGTATTATTATTGGTTTTTAAAAAGTAAATTATATGGAATTCAACAAGTAAATAGTCATGCCTCATCCAATAGGCACTGTCAAATCATGTCGATTTCCCAAATACTTGTTCTTATTAAGGAGAAAGTGAAATAAAAATGAATGTAAATCATTCTCTAATGTACGAGGGTAAGCACAAAAAGTATTGCTAGTTCAAATATGCATGGGTTTATTCCAAACAAAACATGTTTAAACATGGTCTCTGGGATCAGTGGACAGTTACAGACAAGTTCTCTCAATAAACACTTGTCTTAGTGTTGTTGTTGTTAGCGCCGAGTTGGTTCTGACTTATAGAGACCCTATATTGGGTTTCCAGGGAGCAGCTGGTGAGCTTGAACCTCTGACCTTGCGGTTCAAGCCAACTTTACAGTTCAGCGCACTGACCCACAGTGCCACACCAGGACTCTGTTTAGTTTCCTTAGGGTGCCTTCAAGAAAAGAGCCAATCAAAACTGTGGTTTCCCAGGGTATGTGTTAGGCCAGTTAACCTCAAGGGGAGGTCAGCTCAGAAGACTATGGTGACTGATTTTGGGGATTTTAACAGGGTGGTCTTGATGGATTTTCCTGAAGGACACACGGGCTTATTAGGAAGAAGTTTAAAGAAAGTTTTCTGCATTGGTGGGAAAAGGCCAGAAAAGTTGTGCTGAGGAAGTTTCCCCATCACAACAATACATCTGCTCATTCTTCGAGGACTATCCTACAAGAATTTCATTGGGAAACCTATTCTGACCACCCAATAGTCCCAATCTTGCTCCTTCAACTCAAAGAACATTTAAAAGGAACACAATTTGAATCCCTCAAGGACCCCCAAACTACTGTTTGATGTGTATAGAATTCTTTGGAGAAGGGTTAAAGAGATGGAAAATACCACCTTTACAAGTGTATAGACCTAGATGGAGGCTACCTTGAGAAACAATAGCTTCACATTTTGAGATCTTTGTTTAATAAAGGGGGTCTGTGATTTTGTAACAATACTTTTTGACTGACCCTCGCATTAGATACTTACTGCCATTTAGTCTGGAAGTCTATCACTGTGTTATTTCATATAGCAATGACTTCCTTCTCAGGGGCTGTGCAGTTTCTTGTCTTTTCTCTCACTATCAACAATTCTGTTCTCATTACCTCTGAATCTAGCTATCCCTGGATACACATCCTTTGCCATTTTCCTTTGTTGGGACCAGGGAAACCACGTAACTGGCCTTATTAGACCACGTAACTGAATGAATAAGAGACAAAATCTGCTATATATGAATTTTCGACATTTATTTTAGCTTCTTAGAGACCCATTTTTCATTGTTACTTGTTCTCTGCCCTGTACTTGGTAGTTCAAACGTCATTGGATGATATTGCATGAATAAATGAGCAAGAAACAATATAACAACTTTGGAAATATTAATCATGGAATTTATATTCATAACAGTATTGTTAATTATTAGGTCTCATAATAATCATCAAATCAGAAGGATATTTCCTAAAACAAAATCCTTAAGAAGATTTAATGGGGTCAATTATGAGATTTTCCTGGCAAGGAAGAGTTTTTATAAAGGAAATGGCAAACGATGGCTGAGTGATGGTAAAATTTAAAAAGATACCAACAAAAATTGCAAAGGAAAATTTAGTATTTCTAACTAGAACGGTTTTTTACAAAATTTAAAAGAGGATGTTAAAAATAAAGTTGATACTCTCAGAAATTTTTCAATAAATTGGGTTTCTGCTATTGTAAATAAATGGCTTTCACTGAAAATGTAGACTTTGTAATAAACAAGTGGCTGAATATATTGCTCTACTCCACATATCCAGCAGGGGGCAGAGATGACCAAAGTAGAGTTTTAGAAGTTCCTTTCCTTGAAGGCTTTTAAACTGTTCAATTGTGGAGACTGTTAACTTCCTTATTGCTGTGTTCATGAATGTTAATTCTGCATAATTTCAATGTAATTTGTCCCTGCTCAAGTTGATGATTTAAATTTTACTTAGCACTCAGGCAGTTTCCATTTGTGATGAACAGCAACCTCTTGATTTGAACATTTTTAATGTTAAAGGAGAAAGGCTATTGAGAAATAAATGATCCCCCATTTCATGGACTTCAAAAGAATGAGGGAAATGTCCTAAGCATTCAAAATAACCACTCTGTGTAACTTCTGAGGAGGGAGGCATCCCTTCCGCTGAAGTCAAGAGAACCACTGGGAGATGCAGCCAGAACATACATGGTCTTTCCCATGGAGGGCACCACTCTGGGGATCTATCAGCAAACTATTCACCATACAGTAAGCTTGTCACATCTTAAGAGTGACTAAGTAAAACGGACAGGAAAGCCAAGAGCCCGAAGCCAGAAGAACAGAAAAGCACAGTGCTTCCTAGCCTTTGGAAACACGGCCCTGTCTTTCCTCTGGTCATAGTGAGCAGCTTTCAGAGAGGCTGATGGGGGAGCTGGAGCCTAGCATTCCTAACAAAAAAGAGAACTGAACGTGGTGGCAATTCATGAGCACTTCTCATTTTAGAACAGGGAGAGAGGAAGGAGGAAGTCCAATTGGAAGGAGGATTCTATGGTTCTGTGTAGAGAGGAACGCCTCTGTGAAGTTGCTTCTGAGCAGCTTTCTGTAACACCAATCACCACATGCAAATCAGGAGGAAGAATTAGGGGTCCTTTCAACCTCAAGGGCAGTCACATGCACCCTAAAGCAGCACATGAGCCTCGCAGAGCACGGCACTGGTTCCAAAGACATGCTCCACAAACCCAAGCAACCATTCCCGATTCTGCAGCATCCTTAACAACCCCCCACTACCTGTTCATTCTTCAAAACTACAGGATTAATTTTCTATAGAAAACTTTAGATGTGACATTCTGGGGCCTGGGCTAATGGAATGAAGGTGGAAGCTGACACACCACGAGATCCCAGCTCTGGCTGAAGACAAACATCAGGGATACTTGGTGATTACATTTTTCTGTCTTAACTACATCTCCTCTTCAGTTCATTAGTGTGAATGAGTGAGAGGTCACTCGATTTAAACGGCTGGCATCCACCATACAGTTAGCTCTCCAGAGCTTACGTGTGACTAAGTAGTCTTGAAGGTCTCTGCGGTTCATCTAAGTCCCAGGCTACACCCACTCTACAGCCCTGCACAAATCCAGCTCAGCCAGTGCGTATGGGCAGACTGCAGCCCAATCTTGGGATTCACTGATATGAAAAGGGATTGATGGGGTAAAACAACAACAAAGAACCACAGAAAGCATCTCAAAGCAAATGTAAAGAAACCTAAAATCGCAGATGAGCCAGCCGCTTGCCCTTGAGTGTTTGCTATATTTTAAAAAGCAACTACTTGTTCCCGTTTATATATGACATCCAGTTTTTACCCCTTTGCTCTTTCATGGTGCAGGCACTTTATTTAGCACCACAAAATGTTTCCACTCTCCATGTACTTAGTTTTAGGGCTGAAATAACCTCCAAGCCAAGAGGCTTCCAAGAAGCGTGATGTTTAGAAGTGAGGTGACGTTGCCCAATTCAGAGCCAGCTCAAGTTCTTCATCAACAGCTTCTGGGAGACACCACGCTTTTGTGGAAGGCTTGGAATAGAGCATTTCAGAGTACAGTTTACATGTGTGTTTGGGGAAGGGTGGGCAACATGTTTCAAAAATTCTACATACACTTGTTTTGGCATGGTTCTCTATGTCATCCACAGTGGAGGAATGCTGATTGCAAACTTTTATGTTGGTTTGTTCATGCATGTTTTTCTCGTATTCTCGAACATCATCCATTGTCATATCTGAAAGAAGGTCAAGACGTTGGTAACTTCCGTTATTAAATGCAAACTTTCAACGGAGAGACTTTAAGATAAAGATGGCAATTTAGCAGAAGCCAGAGAGAGGTTTAAAAAGCAGAGAATTCAGTAACTTTATGATGAATAATCATAAAGTTAGCTAAACCAACCGAAGGGGGGAGTGAGTGCGAAGAATTAGGCTTAAAAAAAAAAAAAAAGGCTTGGAACAGAGAAGAGTGGAAATTGTTTACGAGTGTGAGCTAGGTATGTGGAAATATTAGCACGTGGGCAGTGCCATAGCCCGGGATCTCCTAAAGTGTCCTTAGAAGATCCCTCAGGGATAGATGTTTAGATTTGATTGGTTTCATACTTACCTTCCATGTACCTTTCCAAATAAACTTAGAGAACCTTTGAATTCATGCAGACAGGGACACTTTCATTGCTATTACGGGAGCCAGTGACGTAAAAGGCAGGGAGCTAAGTTCCTGGATTCAAGTGAGCTATGGCGGAATTCTCACCCAGAGACAGACTTTCACACAGAACCCATGGTGTCGGTGTAGGTCTATACTGCACTTCCAGTCTAGTCTAACAGCTTGAAAATGGCTGGGACTACTGCCACCCACATATGTTTATAAATACAATGGCACATGACATGATTCTGATTTTTGGCCAGAGTCTATAGTTTTTCAGTATTTCAGGATAATAATGATATTTCCTAATCTGGTAGCTCTCAATGGCATTGAGTGACATTTTTGGTTGTGACAACTGGAGGTCTACTGGCATGTAGTAGGTAGAGGACAGGGTTGCTGTAAAACATTCTACGATCCAACAACAAAGAATTAATTATCTGGTCCAAAATATCCGTAGTGTCACGGATGAGAAATCCTGTCTTACTCGAACTGATAAAAAACTGAAACAAGGAACTCATCCATCTTCCGCATGTGAAGCACATAAAATTGACAATTAGTCTCACATTGAGTACTTCTGGGCTTTTATCTCCCCTGTCACTCCTCAGAAACCCTATACAGGGTCGCTAAGACTCAGAACTGACTGGATGACTCCAAGGCATTTAACACCTTCACCCCTGCCTACCCCTTGGTTGCTTTCCGTTTTATCAGCACTTCTCCCAGACAAGGCCTTCCTCCATTGCTCTCTTGGCTGAATTGAACCTTATGCCTCTTTACAATAAAGTTGTGCAGGACAATTGCTTCATCTACCACCCTGATGGCTAATTAGCTAGGAGAGGATTGAGAGTGGGGGATTCGCAGCTGGACCTTTTCCTGAAGTGTTTTCTGTATCATGTGGTTCAGTGGCTTTTTATATCATGCCACGTGCCATATGAGCTTCTCTTCCTTTCCAAAGGGCACACTTGCCAGAGGTTTATGATTTAATTCTGTGCGGTCTGGGGCCAAGATGGAGGGCGGCTCTAAAGCCAGACTTGGGCAATTTTATTTAGCTGATCATCTCCCCCTGTGCCCTAAAATTGTTCATCATAAATGCTGTCCATAAGCAATGTAAGTGGCAAGAATGCTAAGCAGCTGGTTGGCCAAGCAAAGAGTATGCTGTTCTTTTAGAAAAACCGAGGTAACCATAAAGCAAGCTTTGTGATCTGAGCAAATGCATCTTGGTTAACAATGACACATTCTTTCAATATAGTCCCATTCATCTCCGCAGCTGGTTGTTGAAATGTGTTAAACACACACCTGGAATGAATCGTCAAAGGTCATTTTTGGCTAAAAGTTAAAAAAAGAAAATTCTCTCTACAAGTGCCTGTTTTTTTCACTTTATGTCTCCTCTGGCGTGGTAGTAATTTAGAAACAGAAGTTAAAGGGGTTCTGATTTCTTTGTTCGCCTGCATCACTCAGTGTCTTTAATCAGCTCAGTGTTAAGAGAGGAGCTTAAACTATGTGACCAGGTATTGATATACTGGAAGTGACATCAACAAAGGTGCTCATTACTGAAAAATGGAAAACAAATCAGTCCCCTGAGATTACTGTGCAATCACTAAAAATGATATAGACATATCCTTGAAACATTATTAAATTAAACATTAAGTGTTGTCGAGTCGATTCTGACATTGCGATTCTCTATGGATGTAGGGTTTCCAAGGAGCAGCTGGTGGGCTTGAACCGCTGACCTTGTGGTTAACAGTCCAGTGCTTATCCTACATGATCCCACAAGACTCCAAAGTAAAACACAATAGTAGCAAAAAAAAAAAAAATATATATATATATATATATATATTATCTTGTAAGAAACCATTTTTGTTAAGGAAAAGCATGACATTTTGAAGAGACTAAAAGGATACAATTCAAAATGTTAACAGTGATAACCACTAAGAGCTGAAATTACAGGTAATGTTAATTTTCTTCTTTTTGCTTATCATAGTTTCTAAATTTCTGACATCAAATATACTTGTGTCAGAAAGAGACAAATGACCTTATTTTGACAATCTGTGGTTTGAGGTCATTAGGCAGATGGCATCAATGTGGAATTGGTAAGGAATTGGCACAGTGTCCGCTTTTGTTGTGGACGGATAAGGCCACCATGAGTCAGGGACTGAGAGCAGCAGGTAACAAGGACAATGTACACTTTCCTAGAATTCCTGCCCATTCTACTTTTTTTTTTTTTTAAGTGAAGAATAAATAAACACATTTTCAGAAAATTCACCTAAAAGAAAAGAAAATCTCCTAATAAAGATCATATAAGAATGAACATGTCTAATAGGGTAGCTCTTCGGGCAGTCCATGTACTTTTAATATACTTCTCCAACATCATAACTCAAATGTATCAATTCTTCTATGGTCTTCCTTATTTATTGTCTAACTTTACACATGCATATGGGGCAATTGAAAATACCACGGCTTGGGTCAGGCACACCTTAGTCTTCAAACTGACATCTTTGCTCTTGAACACTTTAAGGAGGTCTCGTGCAGCAGATTTTGCTAATGCAAATACATGATTTGATTTCTTGACTGTTGCTTCCATGAGTGTTGATGGTTGATCCAACCAAATTGATGTCCTTGATAACTTCAATCCTTTCGTTTCAATACTGAACATTTCCAAAATTCCTCAGTAGTTTATGGAAAGCCTAAAGAACTTAAAATGCTACTTACTGTTCAGGTTATCTGGAAGAATGCATGGCATCTCTTTCTATGTAGAGATCAATTTTTTTTGTTTTTTTTGGCAAATTCAATTAACCTCGACAGATTATACTTTTGGAGATGAACTCATTTTCATTACTGATTGATTTCCAACAATCTGAGTAAACTGTAACAATTTATGCTCAGGTCTCTTTGTTTCTAGCAAAGAGATGCTTACGTATATCACAGAAATTTAATAAATTACTTTGTCAATTATTTTGTAACAAATTGCAAATATTACCCCTGGTGTGATGCTATAGGATGAACGCTGGACTGTTAAGCACAAGGTTAGCAGTTCAAACTCATCAGCTTGCTCCTTGGAAACTCTATACAGAGTTACTATGAGTCTACTCAACAGTATTTAACAACAATCCATTCATTTAAAGATTTTACTTCAGGGTTTCTTAAATATAGCTTCTTAAATTTTATGAATCGGGCTGTGAATTGCAAGGTCAGCAGTTCGAAACTACCAGCTGTTCTGCGGGAGAAAGATGAGGCATTCTGCTCCTGTAAAGATTTACAGCCTCGGAAACCCTGTACAGGGTCGCTATGAGTTGGAACCAACTCCGCAGCACACAGCCAAGCCAAACAGGAAATAGTGGCGCTAAGTGCCTAACAGGAGAGAATATTGGAATGAAGACATCCTGGTGTCTCTGGAACGCTGCTGAGGTTAAGTGATGTACCAGCTCTAGGAGTATTCTGGGGTACAAAGGACCCCTCACTGCATTTCATTGACGCAAAAGTTCCTGTCCTTCTCCCCTTGAGAGACCACTTATTTCCTTCTCTTCCTCTCTTTGTTTCAGGTGAGGGTGGAGGCAGCTCCCACGCCTCCTATCCCAGAGATGAAGGCCACACTACATGGTGCTTGAGTGGACCCTTCCCTTCTGCCAGGTGACCAGGCTGAGACCAGAACCTCTTCGGCTACCATGCCAGTGTGGTGAAAGAAGCACAGGTCTCAGGACATTTATTAACCGAGGAATCTTTTTGATGTCCCAAACCATAAACGAATAGCTCTCGTAAAAGAGCAAAATATGTCTTAACTATGAGTCTTGGTATATCTCAACCCTTTTCTACTTTTTTTTCTTTTAAAAGTATGTTGATTATTATTATTTATTTACTGGAGCACTCAAGAAAGGGACAAATCATGTTTTACAAAAATAATTCAAACAATACTGGAGTATATTCAGAAAATAATTTAATTTCGTGGTGTGGTGCTATGGGTTAACGAGCTGGACTGCAAAGTCGGTTTGAACCACAAGGTCGGTGGTTCAAAGTCACCAACCATTCCTCAGAAACCCTATACAGGGTCGCTATGGGTCAGAACCAACTCGATGGCACTTAAGAAGAACAAAATCCTTTTAATCTCCACCAAGAGTAGAGATAACCATTATTCCCTTTTCTCTTTCCTGAAGATTACCACTTATAAGGGTTTGGGGTAGAGAGAGTGGGAGAATATGTGGAACAAAGCGCAAAAAGAAAAAGAAAGGAAATACCAGTGTTACTGGTCAGACACAGTAGTGGAATACAGAGACAATGACTCATGAACACCATTTAGGTCTGGAACTGAACCCACCCCACGGCTCAATTTTCAGCCAAGCAACAGACAGGGATATAGGAGATACAACACTAGTGAGCTAGTCAACCATTCAAGATCAAAAGGGCAGCATTTACTCAAAGACCAAATCCAGAAGGGTGAAAAAGGAGGAGCAATGGAAACCAGACACATGGGGAGGAAGTGGGAAAAGTGATGTTATACTGAGGGGACTGCAATCATTGAGATGAAACAAAGTGTGTGATTTCTTGAATGTAAAACTGATGATCTACACTGCAAACTTTTGCTCAATTCATAATCAAAAGGAAAAA